CCCATTAGAAATAACATAAATTTAATAAATCTGTTCTAGACCCCCAAATGATTCCCTATTTTAACCTCTCTTATATACAGCTCATGTCTAATATACTGTTTATAAGTAAACACTTTAGCAGATGATCAAGAGACATGTGAAAAAAATGCTCAAAGTCACTGATCAGCGGAGAGACGCAAATTAAAATGACAATGAGGTATCACCTCATACCTGTCAGAATAGCTACCATCAACAAATCAAGAAATGACAAGTGCTTGCAAGAATGTGGAAAAAGGCAACCCTAGTACACTGCTGGTGAGAATGCAGACTGGTGCAGCCACTGTGGAAAACAGTATGGAGTTTCCTCAAAAAATTAAGTATGGCACTGCCATTTAACCCAGTGATCCCACTTTTAAAAATATATCCTAAGACACCTGAAACACAAATCAGAAAGAATGTATGCATCCTTATGTTCAAAGCAGCATGCTTTACAATAGCTAAGATCTGGAAACAGCCTAAGTGCTCATCAGTAGATGAATGGATAAAAAAGCTGTGGTACATTTAAACCATGGAATACTATGCCGCGGTAATAAAGAAGAATCTCTTACCCATTGAGACAACATGGAGGGACCTGGAGAGTATCCTGCTAAGTGAGAGAAAGACAAGTATCACATGATCTCATTCATATGTGGAATCTAAGTAACAAAATAAACTGATGAAGGGAGTGGATCCAGAGACTCGAAGCATGGAACAGAATGTGGAATCTTGGAGGGAAGGTGGGGGAAGGTGAGTGGGTGGGAGGTAATCAACCAGGGACTGTGTGTGTATTTATGCATGGCCCATGGACACAGACAATGGGGCAGTGTGGTCTTGGGGCGGGGATGGGGCAGTCTGGAGGGGGTCAATGGGGAAAAAAAGGAGACATTTGTAATACTTTCAACAATAAAGAATTATTTTTAAAAAATAAACACTTTTAAAACAAAAAGGACATGAAATGCAAATGAAAACTTAAAAAATGAAATGTACAGTAAAAATTGAAAATTTAATAATAATCAGCAACAAAAGCAAAAAAAAATCACAAAAATTTTCACAGAACAATCTCCTGAGATGTTAACAGCGTGAGGTTTAGCGCTAAGCAGACTCCTACTCGCACATTTGCTCCTTTGTTGCCTGAGGGACACGACTGGTCATACAGGTGTCTGCATGAAAGGCTTGTCGAGGTGAGAGCCAACTTGTTCAAGGTGGGAGATGTTCGAGAACCAAGGTTGGGCTATAATTGAATGCTTTTTTCAATTTGTATTTTAATTGAATTGAGTTTAATACCACCTTGTTACAGATTCACTGAAAGTTGCACATATATATATATATATATATATATATATATATATATATTACTTTATTGATTTTTTACAGAGAGGAGGAGAGAGGGATAGAGAGTTAGAAACACCAATGAGAGAGAATCATCGATCAGCTGCCTCCTGCGCAGCCCCCCCCAGGGATGCGCCCACAACCAAGGTACATGCCCCTGACCGGAATCAAACCCGGGACCTTTCAGTCCGCAGGCAATGCTCTATCCACTGAGCCAAACCGGTTTTGGCTGAAAGATGCTTTTTATTTTTGATGGTGGGAAATAAGGTTTAACTGGAGAACACCAAGGAATGGTGGTGCTCAACCACATTTCCAAGGGGTGGTCAAGGTACAAGGATATTTTGGGGAGAAATCAAACATCCACTACATAATACCTTTAAACATTCATTTTCCTAATTATAATAAGCCAGGCCAAATGGCCAATTGGTACTAATTATCACACCAAGTGGGCATGTTAGAAAAATTCATGTAAAAAGTAACCTTTTAATTCAGAACAGTTTGAGGTAAAATGCAATTATTCACATAGCTTTGACAGGAAAAGTGCTCTATAAAAAGACCTCACATCCCTGAGTTAGAAATAGTTCCCTCTGTGACTTTCAAGAAGAATGCCTGGCCCTGACTGGTTTGACTCAGTGGATAGAGCATCGGCCTGCAGACTGAAAGGTCCCAGGTTCAATTCCGGTCAAGGGCATGTTGCGGGCACATCCCCAGTAGGGGGTGTGCAGGAGGCAGCTGATTGATGTTTCTCATTGATGTTTCTACCTCTCTAGAATCTCTCCCACTCAGTAAAAAATCAATAAAATGTATTTTTTTGTATTTATTTTTTAAAATTTTTATTTATTTATTTTTTAATATATTTTATTGATTTTTTTGCCCCCCCCACTCCCTCCCTCCCATACATACCCTCCCTCCCCAGAGTTTTATGTCCATTGGTTGTACTTATATGCATGTACACAAGTCCTTCGGTTGATCTATCTCCCCCAGATCTTCCTCCTCTCCCCACTGTAATTTGACAGTCTGCCTGTTACTTTACTGTCTCTATATCTGTCTCTTGGTTCATCAGTTTATAATGTTCTTTATCATCCACAAATGAGTGAGGTCATATGGTGTTTCTCTTTCATTGATTGGCATGGAAAACTATGCTGCCATAAAAAAGAAGGAATTCTCATTATTTGCAGCAACCTGGATGGAATTGGAGAACACCATGCTGAGTGAAATAAAATGCATTTTTTTAAAAAAGAAGAATGCCTGATGGTAGAAACACCACAAACTCTGTGGCACAGTTACATTTTGGTGCGGGCAAGGGTTGAAGGAACACTGCTTCTTTCTCAACGCAGCCAACCCCGAATTATGCAGCCCCAGTTCAGCTAACCACTGGCTGTGGTGTCAGTGTGCAGCAGCCCTATGCAAATTGGGTTAATAATCTTCAGAAGGCCCGTCCCAGGCCAGAACCCCTGGGCGAAGCCGCTATGTTGGTGAGAGGGTTTGGCAAAACTCATAGCCATTCGTGTAATTTCTCTCTCTCCTCTGTGGCAGGGATTCCTAACTTGGGGTCTGTGATGGCATCAGGGAGGTTGTAACTGGGATAGGAAACACACAACAGCTTTATTTTTTATGCACTTCTAACTGACTTAACATTAAAGTGTGCGTGCCACAATCCACAATGGTATGAGTGGTACTTAGGACTTTTCACCCACAGAAACCACAGACACCTGGGAATACTGTCTCCCCCTCATAACTCAGAGTTACTGCTGTGAGACCATCTGTTAGATTCTATGAATGTGTTCGTAAAGAATCACATGCAAGCCTGGCCAGTGTGGCTCAGTGGTGGAGTGTCGACCCATAAACCCGGAGGTCTCTGCTCCATTCCTAGTCAGGACATATGCCTTGGTCGCAGGCTTGATCCCCACTAGGGGGGGGGGAGGGGGGCGTGCGGGAGGCAGCCGATTGATGTCTCTCTCTCATCATTGATGTTTCTATTTCTCTCCCCCTCTCCTTCTCTCTTTCTGAAAACAATAAAATAAAAAAGAATCACATGCAAAATGGTTGGAAGTATCTTATGCACTTATAAATATTATTCTCCATGGAAAACAAGGAAAGATTCAGGAGTTGTCACGGAACCATGACGACGAGGGAGACGTGACAGCTCGGTGTAATGGGCGCCCCCAAATGGCTCTGGGAACAAAAAGAAGACAGCCATGAGAACACTGGAGTAATTTAAGTAAAATCTGTGATTTAGTTCCCAGTAATGTGCCAATGACGGTTTCTTAGGCTTGACGGGCGTACCATGGAAACATAGATGGTAACGGGCTATTCGAGAACTCTCTGTACCCAGGCTAATGCCGCTTCCAGAGAGGTGTAGAGTGGAGGTTTTGTGTCAGCTCGGGCCTCTTCCCGATCCGACTCCGAGGAACTGTGGGAAGGGAGCAATCCAAAAGCAGGAAGAGGCTTTCCAGAGCAGCAAACTAATTCACAGCGTATTATGGTGGGACAGGCATGCCTCTGGGGTCCGAAGCCAGGCTTCGTGTTCTGTCTGTCACCAGCTTGTGCTCTGCAGCCAGGAAACGGCTGTGGACTTCTCTCCCCTCCCTGCAGCAGGCAGCCATCACCAAGGCCTGGCCAGGGTCATCGTGAGGACTAAAGATGACATGCCCGGCAGGGAGCCCTTCGTTGCTTTTAGCTGGTATGTTTTAGTGCCTATTACATGCCATGCTAAGCATTTTTCATAAATTATTTAATTCTCCTAATATCTGTATTGCATGACTATTTTATAGCTGTGGAAACGGAGGTCAGAGGCTCAATGACCTTACTGCCCAAGGCCACTGGCTGAACTGAAATTCAGATGGGTGCTGACTGTAGTTCATGGACGTCCTGAGTCTTTTCTTATGGCCAAGCCTTCCCTGACCACCCCACAGACGTGGTTGCAGGGTGCTCTTTGCCATCTCCCAGCTTCCGGGCCCCCTCTTGTTTGTTTTGCACAACCATCTCCATCCGGATGCTCTCCTCCCCCTGACACTGCTGCCCATATGATTGAGATTGTCTAACTGGGAAAGGCAGGGGTTGGGCCGAGCTTAGGTCTGTCCCGGTTTGAAAGGTTTGTTCTTGTTTCCTGATAGTGAGCTGCTTATTTCAGCATTTTAGTGGGATGACTCTTAAGTCATGGAAGCCAAAGTTTTTCTCATTTGTTGTGAGTGAAGTTATGCATTTCTGTGTCATTCTCCCAGATTCCAGAGAAAGAGAGGGGAAAGAAAAAAGAAAAAAGAAAAATAAAAAAATAAAAAGCAGAGCTCTTAATCTTAGTGACCTTTTAAAAGCTACCGCAATCCTAGCAGAAGCCACTGGGACACTGATCTCTTCTTTGATTGGGGTTTTGTTGAGGGATTACTCAAAAGGATATGGGAGTACTTTATTTTTGTTTCTGTGTCATCCCGTAATGGCCAATTATTTCCAATTAAAGTCTATTGAAAGGAAGGAGAAAGGGGATTGCCAGTATCAAAGCTTACCTGGACAAGTGAATTTAGCCATTAGCAGCGGTTATTCGGTAATGAGCCTGATTCCCACAGCAGCACGGGCGCTCAAAATGAGGAAGCCACACGCATAGCGAGGTGACCTCAGAGGAATTTTGATCCACGGTGTGTGCTCTTGTGTTTCAGTTTTTCCCCTACATCCTGTTGCTGGTCGCCATCCTGCTGTATCTGCCCTCCCTGTTCTGGCGCTTTGCAGCTGCTCCGCACATTTGCTCAGATTTGAAGTTCACCATAGAAGAACTTGACAGAGTGTACAACCGCGCCATTAAAGCTGCCAAGAGCATGTGTGACCGCGACCTGAGAGATGGTCCCTGCGCAGTTCCCGGTTCTAATGAGAACGTAGGACAAAGGTAACTTAGTCCCCTGTAGGCACCAAGTCAAGTTTTGTCGTACACACATTTTCTGCCCTTTTCTTGCCCATCCGGGCTTCGGGCTCCCATTGCCAGTAGATATTGGTGTGGCGGGGGGGGAGGAGAACGAGGCGGGAAGCTCGCCCCCACTTGTATGCCCCAGCATCTGTCCTCACATTAAGAGTCCTCTCCTTGTTGAGTGAACCATCACTGTTTCACTGGAAGAGGTAACAGGTTAGGGCACCGGTTATAGCTCACTTGCTTTGACCTACACCTTAATGGGGGACCACGGAGGATTATGAGACCACTGAGCTTAAGAAGCAGGTGTGACAGAAGGGAATGAGTAGGTGGTGCCTTGCCTTTTTTACATTCTTCCTCTGATTCTTGTTATTAGCGATAGCTCATTTAAAAAATACTTAATCTATCCCAGACATCATGCTGAGTTCTCTAAGTGCATGATCTCGTTTAATCCTCAGAGCATCAAAAGCAATTATTTTCCCCTTTGCAGAGAAAAACACTGTCCTGTAGCAATCAGTGGGCGAGATGGGGCCTGGGCCAGGTCTGTTTGGCTCGCAGCCTGGGCCCACACCCACTGAGCGGTCTGCCTCCCGCCCCTGCCAACAGGAAGCACGTGTGTTCTAGCCAAGCCAGAATATTTTTCTTTATTCTGCTCATTTGAGTGAGCAGAAAATTACAGTGTAAAAACAGCAGAATAAGAACTACCAAATTTATGTAACAAACATGTACATTCCCTAGGTAACAGGTGTTCGAAGAATTTACAAATGTAGCTCATTTAACCAAGTAGACCTTTTTAAAAATATTAAGGGGAAAGGTGTTTTGTTATTGCTTTTCATTCTTTGTTTTTCCAAACCTGATTTGATTCTCTTGTGCGCGAGTGAAGTTGTCAGTAGAGGAGTTTGGGCAGGAAGGCTTTTGAGATTTTTAGTGTGCTATTGTTAAATGTACTTATGTCTTTAACTATTTGGTGGTCTTGGTAAGGGTGTAAACGCTTTTTTTTTCTTATTAGTTTGTGGGAGATATCTGAAAGCCACTTCAAGTACCCAATCGTGGAACAATACCTGAAGACAAAGAAAAAATCTAATAACTTGATTGTCAAGTACATCACCTGCCGAGTGCTGACCCTCATCATTATAGTGTTAGCATGCATCTACCTGGGCTATTACTTTAGCCTCTCCTCCCTCTCCGACGAGTTTGTCTGCAGCATCAAGTCAGGGATCCTGAGAAACGACAGCACCGTCCCCGATCAGTTTCAGTGCAAACTCATCGCCGTCGGCATCTTCCAGCTGCTCAGTTTCATTAACTTGGTGGTTTACATCCTGCTGGTCCCCGTGGTTGTCTACACGCTGTTTGTTCCATTCCGGCAGAAGACGGAGGTTCTCGAAGTGTATGAAATCCTGCCCACTTTCGGTGTTCTGCATTACAAGTCTGAAGGGTACAACGACTTGAGCCTCTACAACCTTTTCTTGGAGGAGAATATAAGTGAACTCAAGTCATACAAGTGCCTTAAGGTACTGGAGAATATTAAAAGCAACGGCCAGGGCATCGACCCCATGGTTCTCCTGACTAACCTTGGCACGATCAAGGTGGATGTCGTCGACGGCAAAAATCGCAAGCAGTCTGAGATGATGGGAGAGGAGCAGGGGAACCAGACGGCAGAGCTCAAAGGTAGGGCTGGCTTCCACCGGAGAGAACCCACAGAGAGCCTTTGCAGCTCCCTTTTATGAATGATTGACAGTCTTTGCCACCCCACCCTTCTGCATTAAACCATTTTCCTAGTGTGATCTTAAGTGAAACCCTTCAGTACTAGGAGAGAAAGGGAAAGAATTGGGGCGGCCCCGAATTTCCAGCGAAGGAAAGCTTCTGTGCTTTTTCTCGACTGTCCTCTCTTCCTTCCCCTCCTCTCTGTTCCATACTCTGCCTCTTGCTCAGGCATTACCTCTGTCTGTCATTCTTGCTTATTTTTCGGTCTTGTTTTACTGGCCTTTCTCCCTGTACCTTTTGTCTTTTCTCCCGGATCCTTTTGTCTTTTATTCTCTGTCTCTTTCAAAAGGGAATGGAAGACCAGTCCAGCAGGGATTAGTTGTTTGATTGTCGACCTGAAGGTCATGGTCAGGGCACATGTCCATGTTTCAGGCTCAATCCCCAGTAAGGGGTGTGCAGGAGGCAGGCATTCAATGATGCTCTCTCGTCATTAATGCTTTTTCTCTCATTCATAAAAGGGAGCTTTTTTTCTCTCTCCCTGCTTCTCAGGAATCAATAAAAATATATATTTTTAAAAAGGGAGTAAAGGGGGTGAGGTGTGGGGAATGATAGTGTATTGGTTTAACTGTTGCCCCGACCTAACTTCACTGTGCAGTGAAATTGGCTAAGGCAAAGAACATGAGGTAGATGTATAGCAGCAGAGAAGTTAATTTGTGCTGCGTGACTTCTGTCACAGACATATTCTTTCCGTTTTGACAGATTTGAATGCACACAGTGAAACTAAAGCAAATAATGGGGAGCAGAACGCTCGACAGAGACTCCTGGATTCTTCTTTCTGATGATCGTTTTCAGGAACTTCAGAGCCGTGACTTCTGTGACGTGGGATTCATTTTGGCTGCAGCGCTTCTGCGGGGCTTCATCTGGTTCGCAGGAAATGGCTCTTGGTAATGGCGGGACACGACTTACGGAGTTCCTGATGAAAATGATGGCCCTCCGAATGCTGTGGGAGAGCCGTCCGTGCACTTCCTTTGAGTGCAGAGATGCAGAGATGAGTAAGCCACACCAAGTATGTGAGCTCTCATCAGATGAAAAGTGGAAAGGCTAATCAGAGTAAGAGTGATAGTCCTTTTTAGTGTCTCAGAGCAACACCTTTCTGTACAGATGGGGCGATGAGACTCGGAGCTACAGGAAAGCGTGGATCTGGGGAGACTGTTGTTTTGTTTTGTGAAATAATAATAAGCATGTCAGACTACAACTCAGTGTGCACCTCCTATGTGCCCTCAAGACTGCTGGACAAGGAAAACGTTCATTGGCTGTGGACCCAGAGGCGGTCCTGCTCTTGGCCTTGTCTTGAATTGGGAGTGCTCTCTACATTGCCATCTGAGAGCCTTAGCCAGCCACACTAACCGCTATTCACTATTCGTTGCAGCTTGGTATGGAGGGCCCCCGCCCATGCACTGCTCTGCCTGACAAGTTAGTTTATAAGACAGAGTCTAAAGGGTACTGAATTGTGACTTCTGTGCCGGAAAGAAGGCTTCTGAAAGAGCCCTTGAGGAAATCCGGACATTCAGCACAGGTTGATTCAGGCACTGTCCAAAGGGCGTTCACAGCACAGTCCCTGTTAGCAGAAGCATTTGAAACAGAGTGCTGCGTAAACAAACTAACTGAACACAGAATGTTTAAAATGAGGGACGTTTTACCTTCTGTGATCAGAATGTATAAATGACAGCTGCCATACTGTGTGCCTGAAGCCAGCACAACTTAGCAGTGTATTTTATTTATATTTAAGCACATCTTTTAAACATTTAATTTAGTGTCATACGGTGTCAGAATTGAGGCCATTTGGGAAGAGCATTCTAACATTGATGGAGAATTATAGAGTAAATGTGACAAAATGGTACTTATTATAAATCCAAGTGTTATTTTGTAAACATTTTCAAGCTAAGAATATCTAACCAATTCTGACAATGTAAAGACATCCTAACTATGTTTACATTTTATACAAACTTTTAAAAAATGGCATCTGTGAACCTCCCCATTTTTATTCTGAGAGAGTGAACACATTGCTAACGTAAGCAATCCTCAGGTACCTCGAAGTTTACATGTGGCTCTTAGGGACAGTGTTGACCTGATGTAATAACAGTTTTGTGAAGAACAAAAGTTATATAAGCTGCTCTTTGTCTTTCAGAATACTCACAAAGGCAGGCAGGTTTCATTTGTGCTTCTGTGATGGTTTCTGAGATGGAGAGCTAATAATAAATAATTAAGGATGCAATCTATGCTTTAAATTATTCTTAATATATGATATTTATTACCACTAAATTATAGTGAAAATGGCAGTAATCTAAGCAACCAATTTTGCTACATGTTCATGTCATTGTATCTGAGGTGTTCGGTCACCATACTCTACATTCATTGCTTTTTATAGTTTGAAAATACATATTTTTCTATGCTATGTTTTTCTTCCAAAAAGCCTCATCTTTCCTGTAGATGGTCCCTGATGTGTATTTTGAAGCAGTAAAGTGGATACATTATTTAGGAGACAGGAACTCTCTAAGTCCCGCCATGTGTCATCCTCCCATCAGGGTTCTAATTGGCTTCTGTTCATGTTCCCGTTCCCACTCTCAGAGCTCTGAGAGGGTCTGTGACACTAATCACCGACTAGGTGGGCATGAAAAAGACACATCCCCATCTTGAGAAGAGCAGAGTCTAGTAAAAGGCAGCGAAGACAGAGGCAGGTGCAAGAAGAAGAGGAGCCAAAATAAAGACCCTTCCAGAAAACGCACAGCCGGTGCTCTATGCTCCTAGGAAACGCCTGTCGTTTTTCTCTTTTTCGTAGTGTCTGAGGCTGATGGTTTTGAGAGTCTAGTTCCAGTTTTTCCCAGAAGCTCTACAGCCATGTGCCCCCAGGTGGAAGCCTGGACAAAACCACGACATTGACGGTGATTTTAAACAGTGAAGAGCTCTAGTCACTCCGATCACCTTTCACACCTGATCTGGCATGGGGTGGGGAGGACAAGCCCATGGACTGGTTGCCTGAGAACAACAGTCATGCCACCAGGAAGCAGAGGTGGATGGCATACATCTTTGCTTGGAAAAAAGTGTTCCTAGGAAAGTTAACCCATCTATCTACTGTGTGGTACTGGCTTAGTGAGCCAATTTGAGCAGCCAGATTCCTGAGAGTAAGGAGACATTCATTGCTCTATAAAAGGAGACAAACTTCCTAAATGAACTCCTCGTCCCTCTACCCCTACCCTCAAGTAGCACTTGACCTTATCTCTGACCCAGGTCTGCCTAGTAAACCACCAGGCAGCCTCTGAATCAGGCTCTAGCACCCGAATTGCAGCTGGGACTGGGCCCTTCATTCTGAATGCAGTGACCAGCTGCGTGTATAATCCTACCAAGAACAGACAGAGACCCTCCAATGCAGAGGTTCTTAAACTTCTGGGAGGTCACAAACTCCCTTGGAAATATTTTTTAAAGCTAAATACCTTTTCAGATCTACACAAACCTCCTGGGGTCAGAGCCCACACACCCAGGGTGAAGCTGTGCTCTGACGGCTGAAGGCCACTGCATAGCAGCATGGAGGCCCCCACTGCTCTTGTGTTTCCACAGTGAGCCTCAGCAGAAGGCTCCCTTTTGAGGGAAGTGTACCAATTGAGTAACTGACTTCATTTTCTAAATCGGCTGGAAAGACTACAAGAGTTGGCGTGGGTAGCCTGGATTGGCCAGGCAGTTGGCATTGACCATTGTTCTCTCTCCGACCACCAGGGACTGCTTATTCCAGATCGGAATCATTGTCCCCAGGCAGCCTCGCTGGAATGTGAGGAGGGTGGACTTACACTTGTAAAATGCTTTGTCCTGCTTTGTAGTGGTCTTGTGAGGAAGCTGGGAACTTCCGGTTGTGTGGTGGGTCTTGTGGCATGTTCATGTTTCATTTGTGGAAGCAACCTGTGGACAGGGTATCCTCTGCTATCGAAGGATGAGCCAAGGTAGGACTGCAGGGCAGTGCCGCCTCGTTCCTGGGAGAATTAGTTCAGCGCTTAGAGGCAGGTGCACGGGTTTTTTTTGTGTTTTTTTTTTTTTAAATGCGTGCATGTTTGGTTCATTTTGCTATTGTCAGTCCAGAGTAAATAGAAAAATCCACAAGGTTGGGAGTTTTTATCCACTGCTGTACCTGAAGCTCCTAAAACAATGATTGTCGTGTAATAGGCATTCTCAAATGTTTGTTGAATCCATAAACACACCAGTGTGATAACTCCTCATTTGTTGGCAACTGTGATTTGATGTTAAAAGGCAGATGGTTCTCCGCAGGAGAGGGGAAGGGAGCTCACTTAGCTTCCTGGTCGAGGGGGAAGATGAATAGGTTTATACTGATAAGTAGTGACCGTTCTTAGCTTTTTATTGTGAGGTAGTCGTGACCACTTCCCAAGTTCAGTACAAGTTCAGTGCTGCCCTGCAATGATTAGGGCAACGGACATTGTAAAGGTCCTGGTCTCCGTAATTTCCCCGAAGAACCTCATGAAGAGAACCGTTGATTGAATGGTGCCGCCGTTGTCGGTAATTGAGGTTTCATCTCGGGCCATTGAGATGAACTAGCTCCTGCTGGGCAATCCTTGGCCTTTTGGCTCGTTTTGTTCACATGTAAAGTGAAACCTTTAAAGAAAGAAGATAATGTGTTATTTGTGGACTATCATAAATGTTCATCTGTGACTGGTTTTGCCTGCTTGAAATGAAATCCACAAGGTTGGGAGTTTTTATCCACTGCTGTACCTGAAGCTCCTAAATGTTTTGTGTTCTGGGTTCCCTTTGTAGCAGTGAAAATGCTTTGCCACTGCAAGCATGCGGGCTTGATCAGTAATTGTTATTCAAGTTCCTGAAAGTTATAAAAGTTCCTGGTGCTTTGAGTGCCTCCCGCCGCCGGCCGCCCACCAGAAGAGGAAAATCTTGTAGAGTTCTACAGCGTCACCGACGTCCCTACAAAACTGAAGCCATCAGCTCCTCTGTAGCGAGATGGCTTTTTAAAAGCATCCTAAGTACAATTTAATGGTATTCTGTAAGTGGTGCTTCTAGGTGTAATTTAAATCCATTTTAGTGACTAAATTTCTTCAAAAGTTTTAAAGGAAAATGTTTATTCTTTTTGCTGTGTCATTTGGAAAGAATGATGGCTTCTATTCCACAAAGGATGAGAACATATCATGGTTTAGAAAACGACCCTTAAAACCAGTACGAGCACCTTGAAAGCTCTGTGTTTGGGTGGTTATCACTCTTGTATTTTGTATTCATTCCCACATGGGTCAATTGTCCCATGTCTTCCTTCTGGTCGTGCTGACTTCTTTTAAGGGAGGGATGACAAGCTAAAATCAAGGCTGTGGTGTCCGTAAATAAAGGTGAAATGCTGTTTTGGTTCTGCACTGTTGTGTCCACCTAAATAAAACTTCTCTTGAGTAATAAAAAAAAATGTCTGAATATTCCTTGCCTCCTCTTCAGGGAAGATGAGTCCTGAAATGTCTTGAGGCTCATTCTTCTCCGCTGGATGCATAAAATTCAGTGGGCTCCATGGTACTTACTAAAATCCAGCTGGTGATAACGGAAGGAAGAAAGGCTTGATTAAGGGCCCACGGATTCTGGAATTTCTAAAGCAGAAATCACAGGCTTTTTGATTAGGGATTGTTTGGCTGGGCTTGGAGAGGAAGAAGTACAGACTCTAGGCTCCTAAACATGATTGGCCTGCCCACTTCTCTCAAGAGGGGGACTCCTTTGTACAGTGGTCAATTAACACAATCGTTGTGGGTAATAAATCAGAGCCATTCAAAATCTTAGCACAGTGCCTTCCATC